GGGCGCCCGCGGCGACGGCCTGCTGCTGCTGGGCACCCGCGCGGCCGCCGCGCCAGGGCTGCGAGAGAGCCGGCGGGGCAAGCAGGGGGCCCGGATGAGCCTGCTGGGGAAGCCGCTGTCCTACTCGAGCGGCCAGAGCTGCCGGCGCAACGCCAAGTACCGGCGCGTGCAGAACTACCTGTACAACGTGCTGGAGCGGCCGCGCGGCTGGGCGTTCGTGTACCACGCGTTCGTGTAAGTACTGCGCCCCGGTCCCCGCGTCCCCTGGGGACCCCGGGACCCCGCGCCGCCCCGGGCGCGCACTCGCGCGCGCACGCGGGCTCTCGCGGCCGCACGTGTTCGCGTCCCCCGCCCCGCGCCCCCCGGCCCCACCTGTCCCCTCGCCCCTCTCCGCGGGGCACCGCGAGCTTGGCACCCGTTTCAGGCTCCTGGCGGGCGCGGGACGTGGCCCTCGCCGTGGGTCCGGGGAAGCCACTGGGTCCGAGACAGGAACTTCCAGGAGCGGGCGGCGGGGCGCGCGGGGAGGACCTGGTTGAGGGAGACGCGGGGGTTCGGGAGTTGGGGCGTGCGCGGAGGAGGAGGGGAGCGGCGCGCTCTCCCGCCCGCGGGCTTTCCCGGGACCGCGTCCCGCCCGGTGCGGCAGGGGAAGCCGCTGCCGGGTGCTGGGTTCTCTGAGCGCCCGGAAACACGCCTGGCCGCCGCCACCGCTACCACCAACGGAAAATCTGCCAGCTGCAGCCCTCGTCGTCTCCGAGGAGGTGGCCCGTCGGGAAGAGGCGGGCGGCCTGGCGGGCGCGCGGAGCCGGGCTCGGTGCGCGGCCCAGGTGCGGTGGCGCCTGCTTCATTGGCGAGTGTGGCTAAGCAAGCCCCGCTGTCCAGCAGAGAAGGCTTAAGGAGAGGATGATTGGAAGCAAATGTGTGTGGTTTTTTTTTTTGTTTGTTTGTTTTTTTTTTTTTCCTTTTAGACATTTAAAACCCTTCCAGGGGCTTTAAAGTTTACTACTGTTTTTCCCACCACATCCATTCATTCAGTCTCCTGCTGGAGTTAGGTCTATCTGAATAGTTTATGGTTATTTTTAGTGCCTTTGCACCCCAATTTATTCTTTTTTGTTCTTACCCCTATTTTCGTCTCTTCTTTTAGCTCCACCCCACCCCTGGTTTCTTAATGCTAAAATGGAGTGCAAAGATGTCATCCTTAGGAGACCCACAGAGAAAGTTACGTTCAATCTGTGATAGATTTCCCGATTCCTAGTAAAATATGTTTCCACAACGTGAACTAGATTTCTTTTAAAAAAGAGGTGCCCTCGTCCTTGCATATCCCTTGTCTGGAACAGGACGTTGGCGCCACTGGAAACATTTTGAGATAACATGGGAGAAGGGACTAGTTCTGTAATCAGGTGAACCTGGGACTTGACCGCATAGAAATTAGGAAATTAGTGGTCTACAACCTGTGGGGCCCTCGTGCCTGGGAAATTTTACGGTTTCAAGTTGATGTGAACATGTGCTGTTAGAGCGTTACAGCCCACTCTCCATTTTATGGTGTATGTATGAACGATGTCACATCGCATGATTATTACATCAAGAGGTTTAACTTAGTCACCAATGTTAAGATTGACATTGATTTAGATGTAGGTACTGTACTGAAGGACGTGGAGAAGAAATACCTCTGTTCCTGTGTTCCTCTCTTCTGGGTTTATGACATTGTATAAATATAGTGATATACCCACCACCATCTAGATGATTTTTATGAGTAGACTCAAAGTGTCTGTGTCTTAAATTTTCAATCCGATCCCTTTTATAGCCTTTCATTTTTGGTTATGTATCCACTGTCCATTCATGTCTCCTAAGTGTTGTTGACCATGAATGGGATTCTCAGGGCATCATTTTCTTTCTGCTGTCTCGATGGGTAATAGATTTCTATGGGCTTTCTACATTGTGATAAATGATTTTTTTAAAGGTAAGGTTTTGACAATTTCCCACCGGGGTTTGCCCATTTAGCAGTGTCATGAGTGGTGGACAAGAAATAAACTCGGCGCTTCTCCGTAAGATGTTGCTATTGTAGAGTTTTGCGTTCTAGACCTCTTAGAGTCTGACACTAATGTCTGAGCAGAGAGGGGTGCCGGAACCACATTAACATCCAGAGAGAGGGATAGAGTCACAATGTGGGAGTGTTGTACACAGCCCCGGCAGGTCCTGATAGGGGGAGGCCATCTTTGGCAACTGCTGCTTACAATTTGAAATGAGTTTTTGGATAGCCAGACTTCACACACTGAATTAATCAAAACAAGTTGCTTTGAGCTGTAAGCCTAATAAGACCATTGATTGTACAGGGACTTATAAGAAAACAATTTCTAGAGAGGTGCAACTAACCAATTCCCTGCCAGCCTGGGAATCCCGGATCTGACTTTAATAAGTTTTTGCAGCATATTAAGGTCGCTGCCAAGAACAAGCGCACTGTGATTAATGAGGTGCTTCAGGGATGCACTTATGTGGTGGATCAGTGTTTTACTGCCAAAAACCAGAAGTGTGTTTACTGTTACGCTATAGGTAAAGACAGATTTCTGTTATGTATGCAAACATCGTTACTGTAATGGCAGTGTTGTGATATGGAATGTGCTTTTGAGAGCACCTATCCTAGGTAACTGGTACAGTGACTGCTACAGACACTGTCTTAGAGTAGGTCCAGTAGTGCAGATTGGACGAGCTGGACCCTGCGGCTCTTTGGGACATAGGGACTGCCTTGTGTCCTGTCTGCAGCTGTTCTCCAGTTTGCTAGATGAGCTGCACAAGTAGGAGGGAACTTCTTTCTTGGAATATTGTTTGCTTCTTTTTAATTAAAGGACAGCTAAACGATCCTTATATTGTCTTCTTTTAAGGACATTTTTTTTTAGAGGAATATTAGATCCATGGCAGGTTGACCCTCTGTATAGATACTTTGATGTGTGCGTGGTTCTGAGAAGTTGCTCGAGCAAAGGTGCCATTCCTATATGTAGCTCATCACTGTGTATAATGTGTTTTTGTCTGGTTTGATAGTACATGGGACAGGACCCGTGAAGCTGTCCTTTTGCTCTCACTCCTGCCACACATCCGAAAGGCCAGAAGTCCTGGGTGGTCACTTTATACTTTTATAATATGTTCTTTATTTTTCTCGACTCCTTCTGTTGCCCCTTCCAGTTCCTCAATACCTCTCCCTTGGGTGACTCATAGTATTCTTTTGTTCATAACCTTCTAATGCTCTTCTCTGATGCCATGGTTTTGTTCTGAAAATGCAAACGTTGTCTTGTCATCTCGTTGCCTAAAAATTTTTGGTGACTATCATTCACTCATTCATTTACCTGCTTGTTCATCTGTGCTGCTTTGCAAGGTATTAAGACAAAGGCCTCTATTCTGAAGGAGGGAATAAACTCCGGCTCCAGCACGGGGCTGATTCAGACGTGGAACAAGATGATGCTATCGGTGCTGCCAGGGAGGAGGCAGGTGTCACGGCTTGGAGGAGAAAGCCAAGCATGGGGAGGTGACTGAGGCGGAGAAGCCAGCACTATCTTCTTCTGGGCAGGGAGGTCGGAGCTCAGGTTGGACAAATGTGTAGTTCATTTTCAGGGGGGCAAAGCAGGGGGAAAAAGAGCAATCTTGGTAGAGAAAACAACGTAAGCCAAGATGGGGGATTTTGAAGCAGCACAGTAGTTCTAGGTACCATTCAGCATTTGCAGGATGGGGAGAGCTGCAGGAAAGGAGGCTAAAAGAACGGCAAGGACTTGGCCCAGGACACCCTCATGCGCCAGCCGCAGTCTCCAGCCTTTGTGACACCAGGAACCTGTTTTGTGAATGATGATTTTCCATGGATGAGGAGGGGTTTGACAAATTGTATTTCTGTGGCTTAAGATTTAATAATTATGTCCTTCATGATGGAATCACCTCCTCGGCTCGTTTGGTGTTAGACTGTCAGAGAGCACGCGGCCCGCGTTCCTCGTGTGTGCAGTCCAGGCAGGGTTTGATCTCCTGGAGAATTCAGTGCCCTGCTGACCTGACAGGAGGGGAAGCTCAGGCCGCAACCGGAGCGCCGTAGCTGGGCTTTGCTCACTCCTGTGCAGGCACCTCCTGCTCTGCAGCTGGCTCCCAGCAGGCCACACTGCACAGCCGTGGCCCTGCACTTGGGGATCCCTGCTGCAGGCAGTGTCAGGTACTGACAGCAGAAAATCAGGAGGATGATACGATTTCGTATGAATTTTGGAAATACCTGCATTTTATGCTTTTGGCAAATGAACTGGACAAAGCGGAATGGAGTCAGCGTGGCCTACTGACTCAGAACTGCCATGCGTTGTTGTTGCACTCCTTTATCTGTATGCGCGTCCTGCAGGCGTTTGCTGACTGTCTAGGAGAGTGAGTGGAGATCGCCTGAGCAACGGGAAGCAACTGTGGAAGCAAGAAGGAGGGGCTTCTAAGAGAGCCACGGAGGGCGCGCACAGTTGTCGCGTCCTCTTCACCAATCAGATGAGTGGTACAGGAAGGATATTTTTTTTTTCTTTTCAAAATTACTGCAATTGTATTTGCCTCAGGCTTATGACTTGCAACCAAAGACACTGTGCAAAGAAAGCAAAGATGAAGTACACTTTAGGGAGATGGAGACACTACGCATTGGTGACACAGGAAATCAGGTGGATAAAAGAAGCATCCAGTACACTATATAGATCGCAATATTCAAAAGTGTTTTCAACAAATTTTTAAAACCAAGAACAAAAAAATTAAGCAATGTTTATAGTAGACATAAATTGTATATAATTTAAAAAGCATTTTTCAGGTCACAGAGGGTAAAGTAGAAAAATGTATGTGTAGGTGAAATCTACTGTACATTTATCACCTATTAAAGTTGCTTATGTTTACTACAGTGTAAAAAATAATACTGAATAAATAATTTTGAAAATTGCCTGATGAAAAGTAAAATAACCAGTGGCTTTTAATGGCTTCTGGTTACCAGTGCTACAAAAAACAAAAATCTCATCCAAACTGGTGATAAAACTAGGCACAAATTAGACCAACCCATAGAAATATACTATCCACCCACATTTTCCATCAAAAGCTTTTGTTTGTTTTAATCTTTGAGGCCCATTTGGTCATAATATGTTACAAACTTCGTGTTTTTTATACCATGATATATATTTGTCTGGTACTATTCTAAAGCTAGTTTATAAGATGAGGAGGAGGACACAGAAAGAACCCAGTGCCCACAGGACACG